CCATTTTTCACGGGGAGCAAAAACCATTTTTCACGGGGAGCAAAAGCCATTTTTCACGGGGAGCAAAAAAAACAAATTACGAACAACTTTCAGGGGCAAGAATACCAAATCACAAAAAAAACCTGGAAAAACCTGGTCTATGAACACTCCAGAATCCTAGCCAGGCCAGCAGATGGATTACGTTGCGATCGGCTAATCCCAATTGAAGGCCTTGGCGACTGTGAGCTGTGCAGGATGAACCTGCGGTGTGACATCTGGCCGATCTCAGGAAGCAATGCTTTTGGTGGCGTACGCAGAATCCCTTACGTCTCATGGCCTGCCGGGCACCGATCAATGGCAACAGAACTTCGCAGGCCATGTGAGGCTTGTTGTAGAGCTCTTGGATGACTTCTGACAGCTCTGGTTTAAAGAACTCTGCTATGTCCCTGTAGACGCAGCAGCCGGGATCGGGGAGGCTGTTGACAAAGTTCAACAATTCACGTTGGCATTCTGTGTTCCATTCGATGAAAGACAGCAACTGCGGGCGAGGAACCTGTTTAGGAACAAACTGGCAAGCCGCGCATAGTTCAACTCAACACATTACATTGCATGGGAGCAGCATGTCTAAAGCTACTTGCACGCTCATGGCCACAATGCAGCCAGCTCAAAACGCAAACACCTTTCCTGTAACATTGCTGGCAACTGAAATCTGCACTGAGGGGTTTGCACCAACTCTGCTGCTGCTACTGCAAGTGCTTTTCTACTATAGAAGAAGGTTTAACATCTCTGGACCGCAATCCCACCTTCACATTTGGAAGACGATCCTGCACCGCCTTGCGCAAGCCAAGAAGGGCAGTCTCGGGCGCAGCCACTCCTGAAAAAGCTGAGCTGTGCGTAGACTGCGACAGGTGCGCGGCAAGTTCTTGCAACGTTCTCCGGCAGGGATCTGCCGCTACAACTTCATTGTCTTCGTCTGTCAAAAGAATCTCGTTCAGAAATGAGTCGAAGTAATCAAACACTTGATCCAGGCGTTTCACCCGGTTTTTGTTGCTTGCTGTGGCCGGCAACGGCGAGGACACAGACCCTGCCACATGGTCAACCGACGTCCCAAGCGCAGCGTTGCGAGAAGGGCTCCCCACAGGCGCCATAGCCGCCATAGGACTTTTCAGCAAACGACGCGGGCTCGGTATCAAGAGATCGGAGCTGTCGCGTTGCTGGACTTCATTGGCCTTGCGCGGGTCAGCCGTGCGCTGGCCATGGGCTTTTGGCGTCAAGAATCTTTCAATGAAGCACTGCTCGGTCTTGTCAATGACGGGTTCGTCTCCAGGCGGGGTCACGGTCAGTGTCCACAAAGGTTCACCACTCTTTGCTTTGCCGCCGGCATTGTCCTCCATGTCCGCGGCCTTCCGCTTCTTCACCAGAGGTATGTCGTCCCTGGCCTCCCACACATCGTCCCAATCAAAGCGATACCAGGTCTCCTGATGTGATTGTCTAGGTCCAACGTGTGAATTTTGCATTGTACAAGCAGAAGGAAAAACAAATTCAGCTATCAGACTCAAAAAGTTTGGATCAATGCAACAGTCTGTGCTTGCAGCAACTACACATGCACAGCAACTAGACCCCTCCCTCCCTTGCAAGAACCTGTCATAATGGGCTCTTTCTCATCAAGACAAACAATAGGCTGTAGCTGACAGGTCAACAAGAAGTGCCAACGGCAAACGGTCAAACCATGCATCGCCTTGCAAGTGCCCGAGTCCTGACCACGGTGGGGCAGGTACTTGGGCGGGTTGTAGATTTCCACAAGCTCCATCTTCCAAGCCACTACCCCTCCTTTGTCAGAAGCCCAACCACGTCGCATGGCAGCGTACGCTTCAGGAGAGACTTGATGATCTTCGAAAAAGCTGTCGAAGGCGTTGTGGGGGATAAAGTGGTTCCCAAGAAACATCCCTTTGCACACAACATCCAGAACTGGCTGCCCCTTCATGTTGCGCTGCCCCTTGTTCACACGAAGGACGTAGAAATGTCCTTTCGGCTGAACTGCCCTGCAGTTGAAGTTACGTATTTCTGCTGTTTTCGTGCCATTCATGATTTACTTGTGCTCAACTCATCAACGAATCTGATGTCAATTGTCAGTCAGCTTAAACAAGATACAAGTGGCTTTGCGGCAGCTGGCTTGCCAGAGCTCATGGCGGACACAGCTTCCCCAGCCCAAGTAGGGTACAAAGATAAATGTCATGAACGAATGCCGCTACACTGCTATTTTTTGCAAAATCAAGTGTGATGTCATGTGTCTGTCAAGTGCGCACAAGTCAGACACGCGCTGCGGAGCCATGGAGAATGGAGAACAGCACAGCATTACAGAATGGACAAGAAACACCCCACACACGCAGCCAACCGTAACCAATCTGCACACCTGCGCAACAGCTTCACTACACTGGCATCCTGATTCCCATGCTACTTTGTGCAACTTGACTTGACTCATGCCTAGCTCATAAATCTCTCACAAGCCCTGGTGCTCTGAGATTGCGACATTGTCTTGCGGTCATTCACAATCAGCCCACTTGGGCCGTCCAGACAGGCCTTCCGGCGAAACACACGCAGCAACAGAAGCGCAAGGCAGCCGTCACGACAGTGGAAATGATCGTAAATGCAGAGTCATCCAAGCAGGCTGCCAAAAAGCGGAAAGGCTATGATCATGATCCAATGTTCCAATGGTATTGTGCGACACTGCGACACTTGAGACACTACTAAATTTTCAAATGGGCTTTGCATGCGACCTTCTCCCATGGGCCTGCCATCTGCAAAGAACGCGCGCAACACATCGACCTTATGCCAGCTGTTCTGCACAGGTGCAAATGCAGTGTGGAAGTGGCAGTGACTCCATGTCATGTCATGTATTTTTCCGCATCGCGCAAGAAAATGCTGGTGCTATGGCAGGTGGGTTGTGGCCGCGGCTGCTGTGGCTTCATTTCGGGGAGGTCATCATAACTGACTACAAACTGGAAGCCGCCACTCACCCATCTGCTGCTCAAGGTCGACACAGACCTTTCAAAACCCCGCCCGTCATGTGGAATGGCCAGCCTTTCGGCCCCGCTTCGGATGGCTGTCCTCCTTCCTCTCCTGACAGAGAGACAGCTTGAGATGACACAAATGTTTCTGGTTGAAATTAGGAATTTCCGGAAACAGTGGCTTCAGGGGCATGTGCCGCATGTGCCTGGCTGGACTTCCGCTTGTTGCTATCATCCTCCTTATCTTCTTTGCCGCCAGATGACCCCTGGCGCTCTGGCGACTTCTCCGAAGCCTGATCATAGGGCGGGGGACACTGACAACAACCTGTAAACTGGAACGAATTGGCAACAGATTGCTTGAATATTGAATTGTAAGTCATGACTCACGCTTGGCGGTCGAGCCTCCTCGGGGACTTTCTCTTCCGGCTGCTGGCTACCTATTGCATCTTCTTCGATGTTCGCAGGCGCATCCTGGCCGCCTTGCGCAGCCTGATCACAAGGCGGCGGACAGACCAAGCCCCGTGACCATGACACTGACAACTACAACACATCTGCAGACTTGAAAGAACTATCAGCAAATTGTGCGAATCTTGAACTAAAGCTCATGACTCGTGAAACTGTAAGACGCTTCTAGGACTGCTGGGCTAACAATGTTGCCTGATATCCCCAGCCACTGCCACTTTGATCTGGCCAGGCGTTGTGCCACTGCAGCCACTGCACTTGCACTTGCCAGTCCTGCAAGGATATTGTGTTGTGACAATGTCAGGAGCAATCACGGATGCAACTAAGAGGCAGCGCACAATCAATGCAAGACAACCCAAACTGCCCACTCCATCAACCGTCAAATGGCCATGTGTATAATCTGGGAGCTACCATGAACCCCCCCCTGTCCTTCTCCTCCTGCCACAACCTAGAGATCTCGAGCTCTCGCTCGATGTCAGCCTCATCGCGCGGCTGGCACGGCACGCCCTCATCGTGATGATCTTCCTCCGGCGGTGTTGGTTGTGGTGGCTTTGCCTGGTAACTGTATGTCTGACGATCCCTCTCACAGTTCTTGGGAACATCGCCAATCGGTGAGTCTGGATCCCCATCGTTCAGTGACAGAGCAGGCGCCGGCTCCTTGCGCCCGCTTCCTTCTGCAGGCGCAGCTGTAGGCACATTCAGATGGGGCGCTCGCGATGGCTTGGGCTTGCAAGTGGACTTCGCAGCGAACGGGGTAGGCTGCAAAAGGGCTTGCTTCTGCTTCTCCAGCAGCTGCTTCCCTGTCTGTTGACGGCTGTCAACTGGCATGTCCGCGCTGGCAGGCTTGCTCAGCTCAACTGCCGAAGCAGGTGGCGCTGGCTGGCCTGGGCACTTGCTGGAGAGCTGCTGCGGCTGTGTCGCAGATGCCTTAGACTTAGACTTGTCTGGCGCGGTTGAAGTTGAAGCTAAAGGGGCGCTTGCCGCGCTTGCCTTTGGCATCTGCTTCGGCTTCGGTGGCGGCGGTGCCGGTGGGAATGCTGCCGCGCAATTGCTTTGCCCCTCCTGGCAACGCGCTTGCCCTGGCATCCCCCATCCACATCCACCACATTGAGGTGGCCAGAACGCCGGGTGCATAGGCATGTTGCTGCACATCGGCCTCGTCGGCGGAGGCGCCATCATCATCATGGGCCCCATGCCTGCCATGGCGGGCCATGTCTGTCCCCCTTGTTGGCAGGGCTGTGTCATCATGTTGGGCATGTTGCCAACCCCCATGTTGGCAGGCCCCATGGCGGAACCAAACATTGTTGGCGGTCGGAAAGGCATGTAGAGGTTCTGCTGCATCGAGCCGGTCGCCATGTTTGGCACACCTTGTTGCCCACACGGGCCCATCTGCGGGGAGGGGCCAACCGGCCCCTGCCACATGTTCCCACGTGCTGCCTGTTGCAGCCGCGGGTTGCCCTGAGGAAGAGGGCAGCCAGACATTGCGCCGTCCAGGTAAAGGGAAAAAAGCTTGGAGCTGTCGTAGTTAATCACTCTCTTGTTGGACTTGTTGGGCCCTAACTGACCTTAACCTTAATGGGCTAGATGACTGAATATGGCACCTGCGCAACCCGAACTCCTGATCATGCATTGCCCTGGTCATGCGCCGCACATCCTAAGTCTTTGCTCCAGCGTCTGCAGCACAGACCAAGTAGCATGTTGAGTGTTGCTAATGCAGTGCCTCCACGCAATCAATGAAGAAAGCTCAAACCAACCAGGGCAAGCGGTGCAAGGTGAATCGTGTTCATGACTTAAGCTTCGGAAATTTCAGTGCCGGGCCGCCAATGCGCGACTCGACGCCACGTACTGGCCCGTTGTCTTTGCCAATGGCCTGGCAACAAAGCATTCATAGTCTGGTCATCAATCGTCAGTCGTCAGCCCTACCACGAACTCAACACTGGCTGCTGACAAATGCTGATGGGCTGATGGGGATACCAACACCTACCTCAACTGACGCAACTGGAATCCACAGGTCACAGGCGCAGCTTGCAAGCAGACTTTCTTGATCACTGCAGAAGCGTTGCAGAAGCTCTTCTTCTTAGGCGTAGGGCCTTTCCAGACCCTGCCAAGCTACCAGGCTCACACCTGTGGGGCTGCGTCACTGACCGCTTTCCCTAGCGGCACTGCTGTGACATCTGCGATCTGCAAGGCTGTGTTATTGCCACACTTCACGGGGACGCCAAAGCAATAAGAATTTGAGAAATCAAGTGAAGGCAAGAAGCACAAAAACTGTCGTCAACATATCACTTGACTGTGCCACTCTTGACAATTAGTAGGCGGGCAGTGCATTCACCTTCATATAACCCAATGACACAGCTCAGCATGCGTGCAATGCATGCTGATTGCTTGCAGGCAGCGCCAAAGGCAATGAGCAAAAGGGCAGAACTTGCAAGCCTGTCTGCGGCGGGTGAGCGCACCCTTGTCACTACCCAACATGAGACGTCAACAGTCATGCGTCAATGCTTGACAGATCTCTGAGCGCAACAGAACTTCAAAACAATTGAGCAATGGCATGGCATGTCTGTGGTGAACACTGAACACTGTAAATCGCAAGGATGCACTCACGATGGCTATCAGCAAACACTGCGACTACTGCTACCTTCTTGGACTCCTTGGCCCTGCATCATGTTGCCTGCCGGCAAGAACCTGTTTTCAAGCCGCCTGTGATCTGAAGCGGTTGCAATTAACAACAGGCGAGAGATTCAACTCTGTCAAAAGGAATTAACTGCACCAACCAAAGAGAATAAGCATGTCACTGTCTCTGGCAGTCTACCCTGAGTCTACCCTACTTGCAAGCGACAGCAGACCACAACAACATGTTGGGATTGAATGGAAACTATCCTATCAGCCAGCTGCTAAACAGCTGCAGGACGGGCGTGCGGCGTGCCGCGCTGGAGGATTCCATGTTTCAAGACGCTGCGCAAACAACAGTTGTGTTAAGTTAGCTTACCAACCAAACCATGTGTCAGTGATGTGTTCTTCCAGTAGCTCCAGGCGGGCACTGCTCGCTGCTCACATTCTGCGCAAACCTGGCCTAGGACGGGGCCGGGGCTTTGGCGCAGGACCATGACCATCTGGCCCACGAGGGGCATCGGTCAAGTTATCAAAACGTCCAACAAAATCACTAACGTCAAACGGTACCAGGTCTCTGTACACATCCATGCCTGGGCGATGGTAATGATGATGGACGTGAAGCCCGCCTGCAACATAGATTACGTTGGCCGGGACTGGCGTCACTGGACCTGAGCTGCCAGGCGCATGTCCTGGAGGCGGTGGGCGAGAGTCTGGTTTTGAACGTGAGCTGTCCCCACCATTTCCAGGCCTTGCAGCGCCGCCCAAATGATCGGTGGCTACATTGTTGTCATAGGCCCCCGGAATAATGTAGTGGTAGTGGCTGTGGTGGTGCTCATGCACCACGCGGAGCCGATCATCTGATTCTCCACTGCTGCCCTCGCCGCTAGGCGAAGGCTCCGCGTTGTCCATGTCGTCTTCGCCTTGGCTCACGTCGCCCATGGGGCTGTCATAACCATCACCGTCACTGCCTTCGCTCCCACGTTCCACAACTGCACTGCCGCTG